ATGAGCGGCCTAGCAACGCTAACCCATGGGGTCTGATGGCATATAATCTTCAAACGCTGCGTCCTGCATAATCGTCTGGAGGAGTAGTCTTATTCACCTTGTGAATGGCACGGTTGCCCGAATCCCTTTTTTTGAGACTCGCTTCTCCGTACACATTGAATAGGGGCAATCAACGTTGCGTTGTTCAGTAAATGTGGGGACTTTTCTTGTAAGCCGCTACAACAATCTTTGCCTGCCATCATGTGCATCATGTCGCGTGGTGCAAACGGTTGCATTCCACGCTCCTTGATGATGCAGGCATTGACTGGGGAAACACATGATGTCTGGTACGTACACATGCCCTGCGTCTGCCCAGAATGTGAGAGGATAGGCCGTAACAGGACTAGCGCAGAACGGCACAGGGGAAATGACGTTGCCGACGGCATCAGTCCCGCCAGTCCCAGTCCGAAAAATTTCACGTCAAAGTGAAAGCAGGAGCAGCTTATCAAGGGAAACCCGCTAGAAGAGGAAAGGCCAGCGCACGGCACGCAGCACACAACTTTCACGAACGCTGCTAAGTGTCCTGTACCAGAGCATGTACCTGGTACTGCACTGCTGCACCCTTTCACACGCTTGACATGGGTCATTTCACCTCAAAGAATATCTACCGGTACTGACACTCCATGCCACGCGACACGAACGGAACTCCGAAAAAAAGAGAGAAGGCGCAACCCTGTAGGTAACGAGCCGCCCTCCCTCGTCACGTCCGTCAACTCTCGACGATCCCCGAGTTTCCCTTTTCCCCCTCTCAACACCAGCATCCCTTTCTGTTTCCAGTCTGCGTGTCTAGAGTTCCTAGTTCTGCGAGCGCGGCTCTGATCAAAGGGCTGAGTGCCTCTGGCTTTGGCTGACTGCTGACCTGACTCCTCCCTTTCCTTCTTTAGCCTCTGCTTCTCGGTTGAGCCTGCGATTGTCTGAACCAAGTCGACATCTGGACGTCCCACACCCCTTTTGACTTGGCACCACTTGTGGCGATCAACCCGCGACCACATACATACATAATATTTTGCGGCACGCCGGTTAGTTCTCTGTCAACTATCAGTCTCGCACTCGCACGCGCACGCTCTCTGACAATTGTGTTTTCGGCAGTTGCCCTCGCACATCGCCCAAGATGGTCTACCTTCGACACAACCAGCTCCCGGCGCTCAAGGAGTACAAGTACTCTTCGGTTGATCGGTCGCTCACATCCAAGTACATCCTCAAGCCGTTCTACAATAATTTCGTCATCAAGCTGTTTCCCATGAGCATGGCCCCCAATTTAATCACTCTGACTGGATTTGTGTTTGTGGTAATCAACTTCTTGACGCTCCTGTGGTATAATCCTACCCTCGACCAGGACTGTCCCGCTTGGGTGTATTTCAGCTGGGCTCTGGGTCTCTTCCTCTACCAGACTTTTGATGCCGTCGACGGTGCTCAGGCGTGAGTCCATACCCTGTGGTTCCCGGATAACCTGCTCCTTGTCGCATCTCAGCGTCAAAAATCAGCCAAAACTGAAGAGGAGTTCGAGCCGATGGTGGACATTGACAACTAACGCGACCCGTAGACGCCGAACCAAGCAATCCGGTCCCCTCGGCGAGCTATTTGACCATGGTGTTGACGCTCTCAATACTAGTCTTGAGGTTCTCATTTTCGCTGCTTCTCAGAACATGGGCCAAGGCTGGAAGACGGTTGCGACTCTCTTTGCTTGTACGTCCGCTCTCGCTCTTCCGTTGTTGATGCGCAGAGCTGAAAATGCCGATTGCTAACGTTTATTTTTGAATTGCAGCTCTCCTTACTTTTTACGTTCAGACCTGGGACGAGTACCACACCAAGACACTCACACTCGGCATTGTCAACGGTCCAGTTGAAGGTGTCTTGATTCTGGTCGCCGTTTACACCTTGACCGGTTTGCTCGGCGGAGCCCATATCTGGCAGCAGAGCATGCTCAAAGCCATTGGTATTCCCGAGACCTTGGGAATTCCCACGTTCATTTACGAGCTCTCCTTCACCGAGTGGTACCTAGTCCAAGGCGCCATCGTGCTCGTCCTCAATACCGTCGAGTCCTCCTTCAACGTCATCCGAGCGCGACACGAACGTGGTGACCGCTCCCGCGGGGCTCTTGTCGGCCTGCTACCTTTCTTCGGCGTTTGGACTCTGATAGTCACCTATCTGCACCTGCAGCCCAACATTTTGCACCACCACCTCGTTCCCTTCGTACTTTTTGCCGGTATTGTCAATGCCTACAGTGTTGGGCGGATGATCACAGCCCACCTCGTCAAGCTTCCCTTCCCTTACTGGAATGTCCTCAGCATCCCCCTAGCATGCGGTGTTATCGACTCTCTTGGTCCAGTTCTCGTCAAGCGATTCGGCATTGGCTGGCCTAGCGCCCTTGGACACGACGAATACCAGGTTTCTTTCGTTTTTCTCATCCTTGGTATTGCTTTTGGTGTCTATGGCAGCTTCGTCGTCGATGTTATCGTGTCCATCTGTGACTACCTCGACATTTGGTGCTTGACTATTAAGCACCCCTATGACGAGTTCGGCCCCAAGGCCAACGGCGAGAAGATCCACTAGGGTGCCACTGTACTGAGATCAACTCTCCCAACCAACTTGGAAACCAAAAACTGGTGAGCGCTGTCATCAAGATGTGAAACGGTTGCGAAGAAATGCCTTTTTAATACGACAAAAAGACGAAAAAGCGGACAGATTTAGGGAGAGGCTACATGATGGTTTAGGACGCATAAGAACGAAGGTCACGAGCACGAAAATATAAGCGACTGGGAAAACGCGCGGGGTTTACTACGCCAAGGAATTCGATCGTACGTCTCGTGCCGTCAGTACCGTTTTCTGAGATGGACATAGAAACTATGGCCTTGCCGTGGAAACGGGAAAAGAAGGAGGGAGACCATGTGTTGCAATCTAGGGAACAGACATGTTATAGGAGTTAGGAGGCACGGAGTCTTTAGTTGTATTAGTTGCTTTTAGCTTTACATTGCGTGAATTCTCTGCATTGTATAATATTAATCCATATGATCCCGCTTAGGTTGGCCTGTCCGCTTTGTATTGCCAGTGCTCCGTACAAATCTGCAGATATATTCGTTGATGGCGGTATACAGTTTGCATGGTAGACAGGGATTGCAGTGGCACATGGCCACTTGACTCCTGAGACGATCAAAATTGCTGATACCGGATAGGGAGATACGTCCGAAGAGCTAAACACTCCAGGAATCGCGACGTCATGCTGGCGCGGTGCTAAGTTGAAGTGAAGACAAGTAGCGTACATTGCCCAAACATCAAACGGGGTCAACCTGACATGTCGGTCATTTTTTGCATTTTGCGTCGTCTAGGCAAAAATCATAGAGCAGGGTACTCCTTCGATCGGAGCCCAGCTTGGTATGTTTTATCTTGTATTTCCAACAGTCGCCTGGCTGCTCGTCCTATCTGTCCATCTTCGCCGACTCGTGGCGGAGAGCAACAGCAGCTTGATCAGGGCTTTACCGTGCATGGCGTACACCGTGAACCCGGTCGAATCCCTTATACAATGTCTACGAGCCGGCTTTCCTACGCGCGCAGCGAATTGTTTCTCTGTATGGTCATGACTTTCTGCTGCCCTGAGTAGTCGCGCTCGCGGTCAGCAATGCACTGCATTACCATTCCGTCGTCAGGGGTACCTCTCAGGCACGGTTTAGAGTTTTGAGTTTCCAAGTACCTGTAGACTTGACGCACAAGGCTCTAAGACGTCTCAGCGTCGGCATCGGGCAAGAGTCTTGGGATCTGAACGTCAACGGGGTCCCCAGTATTTAGAAACGAATACTACATGGTCGGTGCTCGGCCGCCGCCGGGCTCATATTATACGCCGAGTCAATAAACTCGACATTGCCGTGAGATCTCAAGGCCAGGAATATGCCACCACTATTCATCATGTCGCAGGAGGCAGGCGGCTTTTCCCTGCCTCTAGCCAAGACACCTAATCTCTCTTGTGATGCGGGTAGACGGCTACATCGCCATGGGGAGTTCTTAGGTTTCTAGTGCTGTAGCTTAGCGGCCGGGCTAGTCTAGAGTCAACGGTCTTAGTTTTATTTAGTGAAAATGATTCCGTCTTGCCAAGATCCGAGCGAGTCATCACTTGAGCATGACTAAGAAGACTTCGTTTCGAAAACAAGGCTAATGAAGACTGGCACGTCAAGGACAAGGATGTGTTGCAGCAATGAATGTAGTTACGACATAGGACGAGTTGAGTGGACGAGACTCAAATATCCCGGGAAAAGAATGGACTATAAAAGTACAGTCTTTATTTAAATATCGCTGTGATTATGTGTAGTGCACGGAAAAATTGAGTCAATTGAAGCTGAATAACAAAGCGACGCCATTAATAAAATCAACAAAACTTTGCCCGCAGCTCAATCCTTCCCCTACGTCGGTCCAAATTTTCCACTCAAAAAAGAGACAATTATCCCGATCATAGCATGCAGTCCAGGGAGTTCATTTGCTGGTATAATGACACTGAACCTGGCCGTACATCAAGGCTCCCGCCAAGCCCCTGCCCAGAAGTCAACGCACAACAGAGCTGCTGATATGGTGCCGGTTACCAATGACTGGAAAACAACAAACAATGGCCGGAGGCCATGTTTTATAGATGAGATCGGAAAGTGAATGCTGTGTTTACCAAGCTTGCGCCATCCATGATATCAAAAGCAGCCCAAAAGGTGGCAGCGTACCGCGCCGCATGCGCCGCCAAATACTGATGGGTAGGGAAAAGTATGTATCATGTGTAGCCCCCAGGGCCCCAACCCAAAAGTGAAAGCCAGTCCGACGCCTTTTGTACCCAAAATGCCCCCTTAACCAAAACACCATGTTTTGAAGCCTTACGGCTCAGATATTATTTGACTTGCATCGCATCATGATAGACGTGGCCCTTCATCGGACCAGTCCCAGAGGCAAGGCGTTGCATATGACCTCTTCAGCCCAAACCGATTGGGCGACTATAAAAGGTCATCGGAGCCACTTGCCACGCTTTGTTCCATAGCATAGACAATCGAGCGCTCCGAAAAGACAGGGCCTTGTCCGTCGCATAAGGCACACGATTTCAATCTTTCACTGACATCACCAACATCGACTAGACCTCGTTTGTAGAGGTCATGGTCAATGATAAAGTCCCAAGCTGCACCAGCAGCGAGCAAACGCTCCCCATCGTCAGAAGTGACAATACGGTGTGAGGGGGACTTGTTCTTGTGGTTTTGAAGAACGTTGGAATAAAAGTCGGTAGGATTATACCTCATGGGGCCGGTTGTTGTTGGTTCGGGTGAGTGCGAAATATGATGTCCGTTGGTCACTGACGACGTGGCTCTCAAGATCTCGTTTTCTGTTGAAACTTTTTGTAAATCACGCTTGAGTCTCTCATTCTCGACCGACGCCTGCTGCTGCGCCGCTTCCATGTGGGCAAGTTTTGCTTCCAGATCCTTGACATGCTTCTCTTTCCGTTCACGGAACGCACGTTGTCTAACCATGGTCATGTTAAGCATATTTGCTCCGGGTACGTGTATGAAAAACATGGTATTGAGCACTCACGCTGCACGGTTCTGCGCTTTGCGTCGCGATTGGGCAGGTGTCAGGGACTCATCCTCGTCGCTACCCCCTCGAGTATGACTGTTGTCATCAGCGCCATCGGACCTGGCTCCCGACAAGGTGCTATTGAGGGGGCCATTCGAGCTAGCAGCTTGATGAAGCTGTGAGATTGATTGCTGGCTTGTATATGTCGCAGGATTCGGAGGAGTTGGTGGACCAGGAAAACCTGGAGTCTGGTGTTGAGAAGGGTTATGGAAGCCTTGGTTGTATTCGAAGCCTTGAAACTGGTCGGTATTGGGAATACCGTCGAAACCATCCTGCATTACACGAATAACTATTAGTGACGAAAGGATATATGGGGCAATGATACAATAATTTTGCATGCGTTGCAACTTTTTCAAGGAGGTGAGGGCAGGTTCACGCCGTGGTGGAAAGGAACTCGGTACAAAGCCGTCGGGTGCAAGTCCATCTGGAGTTGAGCCATGGTGGGGTGGGATGAAGAACAGGGAGAGCCAAGCGCGAGCATGGCATGGCTTTTTGCAGACACGGGGAATCATGAGAAGGGTACTGACTGCAGGAGAAGCGGTGTTGTAATCGTCGGAGCCCGCAGAGTGAGAGTTGGACGGCGTCAGTGGGGGAACGCTCATGAAGGACTGGTAGGGCTGGCCAGCCGTGAAGGGGAACGGTTGCGACGAGAAGTCCATGGCGGTTCTGTGGCTCTGTGGCTCTGACTCTGTGACGGTTGATCCGTTGACGCTGTGCTGGCAGAACGAGACAGAAGGGAACTGAGAGGGCGAGGGAATGCAGGAGAGGCGAGTTGGCGATGTAGGCGATGGAGATTGCGACTGGGAAGAAGCGAGATATAAGGACGAGATGGAGAGCGCAGGAAAGCGGCCAAAAAGTCGAAGCAGGGCCTTTGGGCATGAGACGACGACGCAACGGGCGATGGTGGGCTGAAAGTCGACTGGTCCCCAGTTAATGCGCGCCGGAGGTGAAATGGTGGCGTTAACCCGCTGGGCATGGGGACATGGACCTGATGGGCGTGAGCCTGTGGGAAGGCACGATGGGCGATGGCGGGCGTGCCGGACTTCCAGGAGTTGATGCTCTCAATGCTCCCGACATCAAGACAAGACGAGACGAGACGAGACAGGGCTTGAAGGCACATAGCCGATGCCGAAGGCCGAAGGCGCATGTCACGGCTCATGGCTCATGGCAGATGCAGCACGGCGATTCAAGTTGGAACAGAACCATCAGCGTCAGTACCATCAGGATCCATCCTCGGTACGCTTGGGCCGTTAGCCTTGTAGGCCCGGCTCCATGGCTTCTGGAACTAACCAGACACAAGTCGACGGGGCCGGGCCTAGAGAACATACGAGCAACTTGGTCCTGGTTAGTTCGTGAATCGTCAGCCTCGAGTTGCAAAAGTACACGCACATAGCATAGCCTTGTTATTTGACGTATGGGTCCAGACGATTGATTGACAGCTCGACACCATTTGAACCTCATGAGGTGCCGCGTTGTGCTTGGGGTGGCGCCGACGGTTGTTCAATGTTGAGATGTTGCGACCAGACAGCGGAATCATGATTGATTCGTTAATTACAGCAGCCAACTGCCTGCCAACTAACCGCTGCAGTCGCCACATGCATCTTCTCCCAGCGCGGAAGGACCGACGATCAACGCACCTGCCAACAGGCTTCTCCAGCCGCAAATGTTATAGTGATACCCCGCCAAGCATCACACTTGGCAATCTCCATCGGCATCTCTAAATTCAAGCCTTGACCACACAAGCATACCGGACTTCTCATCATTAACTCCGCTGGCTCATCGGCGCATAAATAAACCCTCCACTCATAAGTCAAACCCCCCGTACCAGGCCTTGTTTTCCCACAGGACACCACGCCGGCCGTCGCATTCTTCGTTTCACAAATTCTGCATCTAGAGTTCACATTGGGAGCCCAGCCAACTCTTGCTCCCACTCGCTGCTCTTCCAAGCCACCAACCACAATGAGCCAGGCCCTCCAATCTCCTCGACCATGCCGCCTATCCATGCCGACAACCACGAACAACACAGCTACAGAGTGTTCCGCAACCAACAGGTTTTTGCACAGAAGTTCTCAGCTCGAATGTCATTAGTCCCGGTGGATCCTCTGCCACAATCCTGCCGGCACGTCACTCCATGCCCCTGAAGCAAATGACTGCCTGCCAACAGCCTGCGTCGCCAAACCGAGACCAAATACTCATAGTCACTCCACCCGAGACAATGCTGGCCATTGTGCATCTACTATACTCCGTACTGCACCTTGGGAAGCTATTGACTGCCCATTTTGATTGTTCTGGCAGACATGAAAATGGCGATCACTGATTCTATGGGAAACAATGCAGTTGCGGCTCCTATGGTGATTTGGTACGGAGGGCTACATCACTCAGAACACACTATGGACCAGCGCAATGAAGGGAAGACTTGCCGAAGCCGAAACAGTAATACAATGCACACTCTTGGGAAAAGATGGTGGAGAGGGCCCTGCTGCCAAGCTCCCAAACCATCTCCTCAGATGACTGACAGCGTCAATAGTCGCTCAAATCTTGTACGACACTGAGTATGGCAATCCGTCTTGTGTTCCACTCCATAACCCAAGACTAAGGCTCCCTCGTAACCTCCAGGACCATACTAGCGGCGATGCATCCAAGTCCTGCAAGTTGCGCAATGTTGCGCAATGTTGCATTTGCCAGCCAACAATAATGAATAGCACGTATGCCCGGTGCTAGATACTAGCAAGACTCGGGCATTTCGACTACCTAGTTTCGATGTTCGGCACGCTTTGTTTCCGGTCTACCCGAACATAATACGTGCACCGAACTCTTAATACTTTGGGGGCTGGGATTGTGGTTGGCTGGTTGGTTGAACTTGGCTGGTTGGTTGGTTGGTTGGTTGGTTTCGTCTTACCTGCGGGATGTCAACCTCACAGCGCCACTCAACTCACTCATCGACGACCGATGCGACTTCCGGCAGGCTCGAAACACAATGCAGGCTACCCCTGCTGTTCCTAGTCCATATTTGACGTAGATCGTGCAATCCATATCGATCCTGTCTCAGTCGCTAGCTTGTCTAGAACGCACGCCCTAGCTCAAGAGCCTGTCAGCTGTCAACTGTCAAAGCCAAGGACTTTTTTTTCGAGTCGGCCTTGTCTCTATCAGAGATTGAGGACCTCGGGCCTGTCCTGTAGATCGCTCTATTGTCCGAAGTATGTACATACATATGAACAACGGGATCGAGAAACCGTGCAGCTCCACCCTCAAAGGCCTTGTTCAGAAGTGGAATCAAACCCGAGGCTTGTCTCACCACACTAACTTCATATGTTGGCTTGTAGTCAACGCCTGGAAGTAGTTGATTCCGTTGCCATCGCGGAATGATCTGCCTTGCCATGTCCATCTATTGCCTTCTCTATCCGCCCGCTTGTTCATCAGGCGCCAAACACAAAGAGACCAGCGGAAATGAGCTTGTAGGACACAATCTTCCGTGCCTTGCCCTCGACGTCCACATGGCCTCCGGATTACTACCTTTGACACCGAAATCTCTTGGCCATCTTTGTGGCTCGACAAGCCCATTGATGCCCTGTGCCAGCACCTCGATGTCTGCCACCTATGGCACAGGCTTGTCAGAGATCGATCTCTCGCTCCTCCTATTCAATCTCTTGTCCCGTATTCGTTAGTCAACACATGGGTTTGTGGAAACCACAATATAGAGTCTCAAGTGGCCATATTATGAGCTAGGGACTTGATTGTTATTTCTTTTCATTTGTTTCCATGCCGTTCCTTGTCCAAAGAGTCATTTGATGCCTCGTACCTTTTAACCAAGCCGTGAATGGCCATGGCACATTCATGATCCGTGACATCCTTGTCTATTTACTCCGTACACGTGTCTTACTTCCAACTCGCTGTCATTGCGGCTCTTACGGCATCGATCTCTCGGTGGAAGTACGAGGATAATAGCTAGCCAAGTGCATGCTAGTAAGTTCGGATACCAAGCGGCGACAGGGTCAAGACCAGTGCCGCCATCACCGTGGGGAGGAGCACCGGCACTTTGGAAAATGTACACGTACTCCTTGATACCAGGGCTGCTGGAATAAACGCCCCTCTTGACGATTCGGGCCTCTAGCACATCGGGCACCCAGAGCCTTGCCTTGAGGCGTTGACATGTCCGTCAGAAACATTGCGGTGTTCTTCAGGGTCCTCAGCACGAAGAAGAGCCTGCCCCTCGGCAAGAGTGAGTCAAACCTCCTTCCTGGGTTCCGGTAACAGGTATTCTTCTGAGGCGCAGGCGGTTCCAATCAACGCGATCTGGTCGGCACAGCAGTGGCGAAGCCCCGGAAGATGTAGAGAAGCACCGTCTCCAGCATCCCACGCACATCCAAGATAAAGCCTCTTCGATTTCCATTTCCAAACCGAGACCAGCAAGCTAAAATTAAAGAGAGAAGGAAAATATGTCAGATAATACTATGAGGAATACATTCTCCCATCAACAGGAAATGGTAGCAATAGACCCGGGGGTAGACAAACCTGAGCCATATGTCCAAGGGTGTTGGAATTCCTCAGCACGAAAGACGGGTTCAGTACTCCGTACAGTAGACGCGCTTTCTTCCACCGGCAATCCCAACATTGAAGCTGCTTGTAGAACTGAAGAGACTGCAAGATAGGCCCGCTTCTTGAAATAGTTCATTCCAAAGACTTTAGAGCCGCCCTCAGGGGCAGACCACGAACCCCATACCAAGAACCTCGGCACCAGGCGCAAAGCAGTAGCACTTGGTGATGCGCGGCTCGTAGCTGGAAACGCGCACTCTCACCAGCTCAACAAGGGGCTTCTCGATGGTTTCCCCCCACCAGGACAAAACCCTCGAGCGTCAGACCTCCGATCCATCTCACTATTTGCTTGGGAAAAGGCTTCCCCCTCAGGGATAGCGGCCACAACGCCCTGGATAGCCCGGTTTCTCTCCTCGCGCAGCTCGACAAGCGCCATCGTTTGCACACTGCGTTCTCGCATTCTAAACCCGTCCCCTGGGCTTGATGATCCTGTCAATGTGCTCGCCTCCCACGGTCTTCAGATTGACCCTCTCAGCACCCACATTTGTCCGCAGCGCAACAGCGCTATAGTTGTCCGTTGCCAAGTAAATCGGCATTACCCAGCCGCGGCCTTGGCAGTAGCTTGTTTGGCATGGTGCTCACTCTCTGGCGCCATGAGCCTTTTCAGCCTCAAAGCCTTCTTGAAGGACCTTCTTGGCAGGTACGCCTTCGCCTTCGCCCGTTTAGCCGTCGACACCGGCGCCGGCGGCGGCATCGGGTTGCCATTTGAAAGCAGGCCCCGTGGCGCCGTTAGCCATGACTGTTTTTCGCAGATACACGGGGGTTGCTTCCATCTACCAGAACCAAGAAGAAACAAGACGTCCAAGGACTCTAGTCCATACAGGATGGAATGGGCACCGCGTGCGGTCAAGATAGTTGCCGCAGCTTGTGGTGAGCTGCATCATTGGCAGTCGTGATTCCTGATTCAATGTCGACGGTCCATCCGTACTCGACGCTTCGAAAAAGAGAGCCCCCCCTCCTTGGCGGGACATCCCGCCAGGTGCCCACCCCGCCATGCCGGCAGTCCGGCAACGTGGACTTGCTGGAGAAAACCAGACACCACTCGATGAGTCCCGCTAGCCTCTTTGGTCAGCTCCACATTGGCCTTCTATGGACTTCAACATTGGACGAACCATGACCCTTGGAAAATGTACACAGTACATGCAAGTACGTACTTACGTTCACTGCTGTACGTGTTACAAGTTCTTAGATGATCCAAGCGATCTTCATTGATGGAGTATGGGGTATTTAGTCCAAGAATTAATTCAGAAACCTGCATTTCTGGAAATCAACGAAATTGAGAATAGATCTTCAGGTTGCCCAGGCATCTAGGTAGTTGCTAGACAAGCAGGGCAGCCAGCCCTTGCAAAATTTGCATTCAGCTTATTCCAGGCATAAAAGAAACGTTTGAGGATTTCTGTACGGAGTACATGTCGACAATACAACGCATACTTGATGGCAACGGGAGCCAAACATACCAACTACAGCACCAAGGTCTGTCAACGGCAGAGACAATCCAAGGCGTCATAAGGATACGGCCAGACAATGCAAGGTGAGAAAAAAGTTCAATTAAGTACCACTTTGTCCACCTGCAGAGGGAGGTTGCACGTCTATCAACTCCTGACACAGCAAGTAAAACGAACAAGGCACGCGCTCAACCGACTAATTCGGTATTCTGTCATCTAACCCTCTAAAATCAAGGGCAAGTCAGACCACCTTGGCAAAACCATGCTTTAAACCAAAAAGAGAAAAACTGGCGCTTGTCGTGATAGGATAATTAAAGACAAACGGATGGGGTATATCATAGTGAATTGGACCGGAGTGAGTGTTTTTTCGGAGAAGATGACGGCTTCTAACCAAAATGCAAGGCTTCCGTTTTTTCGCATGTAAACAGGTTTATGTGGTGATCGCCGCGCGCGGCACAGCCAAGGATTGGTCGATGTGGGTGGAAGGCAGTGGCTGCAA